TTCCTAAATTTGGAGAAGTAGTTTGGCTAAGAGGAAAAAAAATTAATGATACTTTGCAATAAAGAAATGATCTGCTTGAAGTTTTATTCCTTCTACAAAGAAAAGAATTAATTGTTCAAGAATTCTGCTAAAAGCAGAGTTTCAGTAGCTTTCAGGAAACATTCTGTRTGCTTTCAATTACAAATTAAATTGTCCCACATGCGTTTCAAGCTTCATATATGAATCACGTTTTCTCTTGAAACTTTTTGTATGTGGTCTCTTGCCAGAGGACACTCTTCCAGTATGACAGCACATGTGGCTGCTKAAGGTGTTTTTGACATACAAGTCAAAGAAAAGCTGAGTTTCGTAATGTTCAGATTATTTTTCCTCATAGTCCGCCTTTAGGCACCTTAGTAAAACATCGTATTCCTCTTACATGCATGAATTCAGGAACAAATGGAAGTCTGATCATTGCAAAGAAGTACTTTGGCTAATGATTCAATGTGGTGGTGTACAAACTCCTCCTTTCTCCCTCCTGCTCTTCTTTACATCTCCAAGTTTTTAAATGTAGGCCAGGAGTGGTGTTAGACTCATTGTTCAAGAGTAATGCAGAGGCCATTGCAGTTATGCTGTACTTGTCCATGGGGGTGGACTGTTGACCTTTGTGTGATAGTTKGGTGTTGGTGCCTGATTAATGTAATTTCTTTCCTATTCATTGAAAGTYGTATCTGTTTATTTAAAATGATAAATGGAGAGAGAATTAGGCATTCATCTGATTATTTTGATTAACTCTGAGAACTTAACAAATTTAAATACCCCCCCATTTACAAAGAAATTCTTTGCAGGATTTTGGTAGCTATCAGCTCTTCATAGTTCCTTTAATTTTTCATTTCATGTCCTTATATGCACATTTTCATTTCTTCAAGCTATAAAATTTATTGGGATTTGACAAAATGTCTTTAACAGGTTTTCCCAGAGTTCAAATACTTATAAGGGTGATTATTAAAAGACAGTCAATGGCAACATGATTTTTGGAATCCTTTCTACTAACAGGGCTCCTTTTTCCTGCATATTGGAAACAGACATGGGAATTTTGTGTTGTCAGTGTATGGTTTCTAGAAAGATCAGGCTAAAGTTTGATCARGATTTCTTAAATCTACTTTGCTTTAAATTACTATGAGACTGCTTTGGCTGGGGGTAGATGTGAAGAGTTAGAAAACAGCAGATAAGTCTTTATGTTAAGAATGGATTAATTCCTGTATGTTACATTTTTCTAGTATTCTGGTTAAATTGAATTTGATCAGTTTTTCTAATGGTATTTTTGGCTGAAGAAACACTACTGTTTAGACACTTTAGGTAAGTGCTGTGCTTTTACTTAAATGATTGATTGAAATATTAAAATTCTGCTGATCTGAATTTTAAAGTTCAGACAGGCTGACCCTGTGGAAGAACTACCAAGGCTTTCTTTTCCAGGAGAATGGAACCAGTGTGCTTTGAGGTGTTTGAGAGAACTAGCAGCTCTTACACACCATTGCCTGCTGTGGTTTGCAGATTTGTACATTTTGTCTGTGAAGGCAAAAAGCTGGATTTACTGACACAATGGTTTCTCATGCCAGTTTTCATGTTGCCTTCTTTAATAATTTTTCTTTCTTCTTATAACAGTTATTTGATTCTGATGCTTTTATTCCTTTTAGGTCTTTATTTTTCAGAAGCCTTGAATTTTGTGTTAATTTTTAAACATATTCTAGTTTATGATTCTATTTTCCTTCTGTTATTTAATCAGTAGWAGCATACCATTTGAAATGCAGACAGTCACTGGCAGTTTCACACCGTCTCTACATTGCCTGTTTTTCTGAATATTTCCTTTATAGCACCTTGCGTCATTTTTTTGGGCAGTTTTATGTAGATAAAACCTTGAAGTACATTGACAGTGTTGTTATCATCAAGGAGAGCAAAAAAGTCACTTATGTCTGGGGAACCTTAATAAAATACTTCYGAGTAAGGAAGGATCAGTTTGCAGCACCCTGACTTTGCTGCAGCCAAGGGATGAAGTGTCTTTTAATAAAGCTGGGATAAAACCCCAGTTTTATTTGGGTAATTAATATAGGGTTTAGATTAGCTACATCGTGGGGATTTTCAGCACCAGTGAATAGTGACAAAATCTTACAATATCTTCTTATCAATTTCTGAACAAAAGAGTAGAATTCATCTTCTACCACTGCTTTAGGATTATACAGTATAATCTGCCTCCTCTTTGGATTTTTTTGGGGTATTTCAATTAGTGGTAAAATTGTGTGCTAAAGTTACTTGTGAGGGCAATACAAGATATTAATCTAATACTGTAAAAGKAGAAAACAATGGCCGAGTTTGGATTGGGACTCATTTTAATCTAAATTTACTAAAATAGTTTTTACTTTTARTGTGGAGAAGATCTGATTACCTGTCAATTTTGTGTGGGTGTGTTCATCACCTTGACAACTATACACCRTCATGAAATAGAAGGTGTGGGTTACACAGAATTATAATTAATTTGCGTGTGCAAAGTGGTTACTCAGAAATAATACTAATTGCAGATGTCATATAGAGAGCTACAAAGGATATATGTAATTTTATAAATGATTGAATCTCTGTGAGATTTTTAGTATAGGCTTTGATCATTGGAGAGATGATGATACAGGTTGTTTGTTGTGAATTTAAGAAGTTCCATTCAATAGAGGTTAGGTTAAAAGAAACTATCCCTGGTAAGTTTTTTGTTTTTTCTTTCCACAGTTTCTTATTTGTCTCCTTGGACTTTTTATTAAAACAAATTGAAAAYAAGAAAAATGCATCATTCTAGAAATGATGTAATGGATAAAAATGTGGTTTCCTTAGGCTATGAGGACTTTCTGAAATCTCCAGWATATCTCTTGCTTAGCTGATCAGGCAAATTTGAAAGCCTCCAGATGACCTCAGATAGTAAAACAATCAGTGTAGGGTATCATGCACATGAAGTGTATCCTTGAATTAGTACCTCAAAAGTATAGCCCTGAATCAGGTACCCCAAATGAAAAAGCACATACATAGAACAACATAAATTCAAGAACTGAGCCCTTGTGGGAGTCTCCAAACATTTGAATCTGATTGGAAGAAAACCCACACAAAATAATAAAGTGGGAGTCATTTTCTGATCTTCTCCAGAATCCATGAGGGATAGAGAAGAAAAGCTTTTAAGTCAGCCAGCATCAGATTGATTCATAAAGCAAACAGGAAAAGTATTATGAGGCAAGGCTTCATGCTATGATAGACATCTCGGAATACGCATCTTTGGCAGTCTATTCATCTTTGGCTAAGGGGGTGGAAACTCTGGTTTGTCTCCCTGGGTAATGTGTGGAATCCTGTTTATATTCCAGCTCAGTTTATATGGCCTTGGGGAGCAAAGTCTGGTCTTAGAATTAGCTGTAATTTTTGCTCATCTGATAGTGGTATGACTTTTGTATAACTGTATAAACTCCATTACATACTCTTATTTTTTTAAAACATTTGTGCAGGGAAGGTACTTGTTTCATCTAAGGCAAACAGCTGGTGGTGATTGAGGGATTCCTTGTATAGGTGATTCGCAAAGATTTGTTTCTTTTTATAACATAGAGACTTGTACTTTAAAWAAAATGAGGAAAAAGGACTAATCAGAGATACTATTTAATAAATGCAGAAAGAATTTCATAAATGCCAAAGCATTTGAAAAAATGCATAAAAGCAAAATTATATGTTCACTATTATCKGTTAGATGTAGTTTAAATGTATGTGCAACTATATGTACATATATGTGCATATATTTAAACTATATCATACCTGCAGTATACTTAATCTAATAAAAAAGCATTCAGACTTACTTAGCTTTGGGTATTCTAACTTATTTCTTTCGGTTATTTTAATATATTAGGCCACACATTTTTTTGGATCTATTTTGTAAAGATGTTTATTAACAGTAGACTTTAGTTTAATAAYGTACAGTAAATCACTTGTACTCCTTAGTCCTTGAGAACAGTTGTTTTTCATAGCCATGGATAAGCAATATGTTTGTTGCTACACAGGAGAAGAGACTGATTGATAATTTGTGATTATGACTTTTAAACTTGTGGGTTGTAAGGTAGGCAAGACCTGGCTTCTTGGCCTCAAGCATAAATGTCTTTTTCATGACTATAAGGTTAATTCAGGAGTGTGTGTGGAGCACTGCAGTAGAAAGAATTGGGACATAAAGACATGAAGTCCCGTCGTTTGGAGCAGAAAGACTCAAAGGAGTAGAAATTGGATTATATCTCTCCTATTTCAGGGTTTTTTTAATAATCAGCTTCTCAGATGGTTTATGGGATATACAACTCTGGTTTGAGGAGACTGAGTGCTGCTGTCTTAATACTCTTGTGGGTTTTTAAAAAATGATTGTTTTTTAAATATCAGTGTCTATACTTTTAACTGTATGTCTTAACTAATCCAAGTCCATTTTCCTTTTGCCTGTGGATTAAGATGCGTAAAAAACAGTGTGAAAACTGAAATGTAATTGCTACTGTACTGTGTGCTGCATCAGCCCACTACATACTTATTATCCTTAAAATGTCAAATTTGAATATAATGTCTTTAAATTGCTTATTTCAGACATTAGAGGAAAAACAAAGAAGAAGCTACAGTAAAAGATGTAACACCAGTGTTTGAATTAGTAACASAATTGAATTAAGTTTTGGTGTTTAAGCAGCGACAGCAGCATTGTATTTGGACTCAGAAATTCCTTGCTGGGTTGTCACGCTTGACATTAATTATTGATCAGGGGTGTCAGAAATAGCGCATGTGCTGGCAGRGTTGGCTGTAACACAAGACAGGGACTGACTGCAGTGATGCCAGAGGGATTACAGCCAGGGAAGCACCTGTGGCACTTGGAGTTACAACCTTCTCTTCTTCAGGCTTTTATTTTGTTGTAACGAGTCTATTTAGGTGATTAAAATAATGGAAAGATGAGTCGTCAAGCTTATTTCTATCGTGTCCCTCCACAGGAATTGCACAGAAGAACCCAACTTCAGCCTGAGCCAGCAAAGACGAAGGCTCTGCAGACAGTTATYGAGATGAAGGTATGGTCTGTGCATGTTTTCCTGGGTGCTTTTTTCATAGCATGAAGTTGTGTCCTGGGTATGGCTGGGGTGGAGTTCAGGTTCCCTGTAGCAGCCTGTCAGGTGCTGTGTTTTGAATTTCAGACCCAAACTGTTGATAACACACTGATGTTTTAGCTGTTGTCCAGCAGTGCTTATGCAGAGTCAAAGCCTTCTCAGTTTGTCCCTCTGCTCCACCCCAGCCAGTGGAGTGGGGGTGGGCTGGGGGCTGGGAGGGAGCAGAGGGGGACAGCTGACCCAAATTCACCACGGGGATATTCCATGGCATCATGTCACGCTCAGCCTCAGCAAACTGAAGGGAGCACGTTCACAGTCATGGCATTTGTCTTCCCCAATAACTCTGGTGCATGATGAAGCCCTGCTTTGCTAGAAACAGCTGGGCATCTACCTGCCCATGGGGAGCACTGCAGGAGTTCCTCATTTCTCTTTGCTTGCATGCATATGCAAGCAGATGCAATTCCTTATTTCTCTTTGCTTTACATATTACACTGGCTTTATCTCAACATGAGTTTTCCCACTTTTGCCCTCTGGTTCTCTCGCCCATCCCACTGAGGGGGAGTGAACGAGCAGCTGTGACACTCAGCTGCCTGCCAGGGTTGATTTATGACTTCTACTGTTTAGTCATTAAATGCTTCCTTTGCCATGTCAATYTATTTTGCTATGTAGCTGGAAAAAATAGTATTTATTTCTCCTGGTCTGTTTTCCAAATAAAATTGATTAAAAAAGTGAAGTGTAGCATTGCTAARTAACGAGAACTGAATATTGCTTTTCAAAAGAGGAGTTTGTATATGTGTTTTAGGAGATCCAAAGTGCATGGAATAAACTGACAAACAGAAGTTGAAGGCTAACTGTCCAAGGCTAATGTAAAATGTTTTCCTTCTCAAACTTGAAAACCATTTATTCTGTTAGTCATTATTAGGCCATAATTTTACAGCCAATCTAAGGAAAATAGTAGTTGCGTTAGCAGATATGACAAAATGTGATGAAACAGCTGTCTTAGTTCTGAGTATATTTTCCCCTTTTTGATATATAATATTATTAAAGTGTTGTGGCTTTCCCCCCCCACAACAACAAAAGATAAAAATAGTAATTTAAAAAGGGAAAACTGATACTTTTGCATAATTCTATGAGTCTGAAATGTGCATCTTTAAGAAAAATACCATGAGACTTGAGATAATTTGTGAGTTGGCAATGCTGCTTGAAATTCATTAATGATGGTCTTTCATTTCAGTCTTAAAAGGAAGTGCAAATTAAAGGCCTCATTTTGCCAGTGACTTCTGTTATGAGCAAATGAGTTCAGCATGTCTGAACATTGTGGTAAATACACAGTTAAAAAACAGCAGGACTTTATAAATACAGTTATCTGCCTCTTAATAGATAACAATTAGTTTGGATTATATGAGTAACAAAGAAGGTACATTGATTTCAGTATTCCATTTTTGGATATRTATTTGCTTTGGACATTAGTTCAGAAGTCTTTGTATGAAATCTAAAGTACATATTTGTGCAATAACTTGTCACCCTAAGTAAATGGGAAAGCAAGAGAAATTTGGCTTCATCTGGCTGTGAAATTTGTTTTTTCTATCAGAATTAYGAATTTAAAAACTTTAGGATACAAAAACAGTGTGTTAGAATAATACATAATTTTTCATGTGGGTTATTAACAATGTAAAGGGCATGTTGAAATTGATTTTCAGTTCCTCTTCCTGTACCAAATCTCTTTGAAAGGAACMGGGATGGGGAGTTCATGGCATGTGAATGACACTTGTGACGCCTGTAGCTGCTCCTGACAGTGTCTGGCCCCTGCAGACAGTGAAGTGTTTTCTGTTTGTCTCCCAGGAGAGGTGGGCGTGGTGCAATGTTACACTTCTTAAAAATCGGATCTTTGTAGTGGGARCATTCATTTGTCAACTGAGGCTGCATTTCTGTTGCTGGAGTGCTGATGCTGAGCTGCTTTTTGGCTCTGAGGCTYCCAGTTCTTTCTGTTCTTATGAACCCACGCCCCTTTGGGGTTGCCCTGTCTAAAATAGGGCTCGTATTGAAAAGAAAAAGGGACAAATGTAAGATGTTGAAATCCAGATGATTAAACAGCAGTTTTCATTACAAGTTCCAGATTTGGAATGTKTTCAAGTAAGTTTAAATTGTCTTAATCCAGACAGCATTTGCTTTGCAAAAAAAAAACTGGAACATTTGTTTTGAATGATGAAGCATTGAAGGAATTGTTTTCCTCCAGTGTTGAGGGTAGAAGGAGGCAGAGRATTAACTGTAATATGGCAATCTCAGGCCATCCACTCCCCCACACTGAGGCTCCAAGCAGTTTACATCTCTTTCCACCACACCCAGCCCCTTCCAGCCCCTCACCACTTGAGCTTTTGTCTGAGTTCCCTCTACAGCTCCCCCAGGCTCTGCCAGGATGCAACTCCCTCCATTGTAAATCCTGTTCTTTCTTTGATTTTCTTCTGTCCCTTGCCACTGCTGACACTTCTGTCCTGTGTCCTGGACAGTTATGTTTTCTACATAACTGTTGTCTTGTTGACCAGTGTCCATCTCCTGCATATTTGGCAAGATAAGGGCAGATAAAAAGATGGAAAATTCACATCATATGCCTTGACTCCTGGGTGTTTTTTGCTTTATTTATTCCTTTCCAGATATCTATTGTCTTTTCAGATGCATTCAGGCCTTTCTTGACTTTCTGGTTTTTCTTCATAGACACATTTGCTTCCAGATGTCCCATGTTTTTGCTCTATTGTTTCTCAATACATTCTTTACTCTRTTCTCTTTTTTGGCAACTGCCCTTATTCTCCAGAAGCCCTTTTTTCTTCTGGAAAGCAGAGTCACAAAACTAAGGGCAGGATGCTGCTCTTTCTCACATGCTCCTATTATTCCCTCCAGCTAGTTTAGTTTTGTTGTAGTGGTTGCTTTTGACTTTGTGACTGTGGMTATAGTAATTCAACTCCTTTTTTTCCACCTCATGCCTTAATGTTAGTCTGTTAAAATAGAAAATAAAAGCACTACATGGAAATCCTTTCCATTAATTGCAGTTTCACCTGTGCACACTTCCTTGCATGTTGTGTGCTGGGAAATGCYAGGTGACAGATATCTTTGAGTGTATTTGGAATATCAGCGATATTCAAAGTTGATTAACTTTGGGGGGTAGGAGTAGATGACCTTTAAATGCTGCTTCCAACCCAACCATTACATTTTGATATAGTCTAACTCTATCATCACTAAAACAGTGATAGTACTTGAGAGAGAAAATCAGAAATTGCTACAGGTATGGCCTAGAACTCACCTTAAGAATAGGATATTGGAAAATATATGGAGTCCAGGAACTAGAAAATCTTTAAAATGTAACTTGTAAACAAAAGTATTTGTGGTTTGCCTTACTTGCAGAAAGAGCCATTTTTATGTATTGATCCAGCTGTGATATTTCAGGTATGGGTTTGGTTCTGGAGAAGTGTGTGTGTGTTTGCAGTGCAACATACTCGGTAGTTAAGATTGCATGAACTTTCACTTCTGTTATCCAAAGATAACCCTGAATATTCTCTGCATTAAATTGACAAGGTAAAAATTCATATAGTAGGAGCAGTTGTGTGTGGTCTGTTGACAGCATGTGTACATATGCACATTTAAATTCAAGTTTTATTAAATGTGAATTTTCAGATATTTGCTTCTGCTTGTTGAATGCCCTACAATCAAAGATTTTCACAGACATGGTTTAAATTTATCAGGTATCTCAAATGATGAACAGTGGAATTCCATTACTTTTCCTTTCAGRGTTAGACAGCCCGGAATGCTGTGTTATGTAGACTTGATGATCCTTGTGGGTTCCTTCCAACTCAGAATATTCTGTAGTTCTGTGATTATTTACAAATGTTTTGCCCTTTTCCTACCCCTCAGTTTTCAGGTAACATACTAGAGGACTCTTGTAAGGACTGGTAGGACTCCTGAAATGTCATTGTGGAAACTCATTAGTAGGGTTGTGAAATATTGTTTCTTCAACATCAGGACTTTACTAAAATTGTTTCAAATTTTAAAAGTGGGGGGTTTCTGCAAGGTCCAGCCAGCATAGAAATAGCCCTGATCTCTCACACAATATCTGCAACGCTGTTCTAATAAAAGAGATAAGGGAGAAGTATTGGTTACTTCTGGAAGGAGGGGATAGATTAGGGTGAGTGCYCTGATCTCTATCACAAATCCTGCTATATAATCTCATGTCTTTGAACAGATTTAGAGGGCCTGGCTGGAAAAATCCGAACAAATGCAGCATTGTTGTAGAACTCAGAAGATGTTTATTAGTACCATTTAATACTAAGCTGCTTCCTTAACATTATTGCAAACGAATCTTCCTTGTGATTCAACACAGACCCACGTAGTTTTTTTAGTATGTTGCTAATGGGGATAAATCTTAGAGGTTTGAAGGAAATATTGCATCTGTTCCTATTTCAGTTTCTGAAAGCTTGCCAGACCCTGTGCCCCAACAAGACTGGTTGAAAGTTTTCCAATTGAAATTTTCTGTGGGAAAACGCTGATTCAGCTGAATCAGAAGATTTCATGGGAATGTGCCTATTCTGTCAAAACTTYTGGCAAAGGCAGAGCTACCTAACTTTGTGTCCATGCTGTGAGTTAGCCCAGCTCCCTTGTGGCAGTACCCCCTGGGAGCTCTGGGCTCTCTGTRTAATCTTTGACCCCCAAGGTTCTTCACTTTTTAGCAGCTGTCCAGTCTGGAAAACTGAGCTTTCCTGGGCAAGCCAGCATGCAACAGGAAACAGTACTGTTGTGTGAAACATTTCTGAAATTTCTGGCTTCTKTTTCAATACAAACTTTATATAAAATGTAGTGACAATTTTTCAAGAGATAGGAAAATAGCTTTTACACCTCTCTAATCACAGCATGCAGAGATTGATTACAAAGAAACCTTTCCTCAGATTTCAGTCTTATGATGATGTAGAAGTACAGAGAATGCTTCCACAAATGATGTTGGATATTTCTCATAAAGCCTAAATATTATTCTGTGATGTATAAAGCTTCTAAGGAGTGCAGCAGTCTGTGCTATAAATTGTTTCTGCCATATTATATTTGCAAACACGTAAAATACAAAGGCAGTACAAAAAGGCAGACTCTAACAGACTTAGCTGGAGAGATTTGATGAAGACTATTCCCAGATGTCATGTCATAACAGGTCATGTAAGTATTAATATATTTCATTGCAAAATCATTCTGAAGTATAGTGAAGCCTAGATYTTGCTTTTATCTTCAAAAATAGGAGGAAAATATTTCTGAAATGAAGTCTAATAGAGCATGCTGAATTGATTGGAGTATCTGTGAGAGCTAAAATTATTTCTGTGTTGTGTTTTAGTCTTGAGAGCTTTTAAATGCTCTTGTGTGTTTTCTTGCAGTATTTTTCCTTTTGTGCAACTTCCCCAAATGATAAGATTAAATGAGAATTTTTCCCTTTTTCTGTTCCATCTCCATGTTTTACTTCCATGCTTTAGAATTAAAATTAATTTTAAAATTAATTTTTGGTGGAATAAGAAAACAACGAAGTTTCTCTGTCTGAGATTTATTATTAGCTATAAAGATAAAAACTAAAATGTTAGTGGTATAACCGTGGGCCATCTAAATGAGATTGCTTAGTCCTTAGCTTTTATTCTACATGGATTTATAAATTCATGTGCTTTTTGGAACTTCATCTAGRCTCTCCTGTGTCTTAAATTGCTCATTTTTCTTAGTTTTATTGTAGTTAGCAAGTGATTCAAGCTTAGCTTGTCCTGGTTAAAGGATCAATTTTGTTTTTATTTTTTCCCAGATTAGCTTTCTAATTTAACAACCTGGTTTTAGTGAATTGGGTTGGTTTGTTGTGTGGTTTGGTTTTGTGGTGGTTTTTTTTTTGTGTTGGTTTGGTTTTTTTTTCAATATTGACCTCAATGGAACCAGAACTTGATCCAATCTCTAATATTTTACGGGTGGTTGATCGTTCATGTTCTTGAACAGATTTCCTAATGTGTAATTTTGCAATTTTCTTTCAAACAGAAAATTGTGACAAGTTTGTGTAACCACTTTTCTAATCTTTCTGACTCTCAGAGAGGAGATGTAGCCAATTTCCAAATGACTGGAAACAGCAAAAAACTGTTACTGCTTTCCAGTGCGGTGCTGGCACACGTGGCAGCCGTTGGCTGGGATGTAGAAATTTTTAGTGGTTATGGTTTTGTTTATCTTGGGACTCACAATAAAAAGTGCTAAATCCCCTCTTAGTGATGTGGCTGGATTAGTTAAGGAAAAATAGATGAGGACAAAACCTCTCTGTCTCTTGAGAGCAGGCAGAAGGCCAGAGAATTAGGGACCCTGGGGCTGAGGCACCCCATGGAGCGTCCTGTTGTCCTGCAGAGACATGGACTGGCCTCTCCAGGCTAAACTTTGTATTTAAGAGCTTGGAAGAAAAGCCAGGCTTAGATGGTTACCAGTGATAATAAGGTTTGTTATCATACATGTGTGTGAAAACAGGGCATCTGCCATTCTCGCTTCATCCCTRTGTAGGAATTACAATGGAATTTGGACCAGAATGTATTCTCTACAGACTATGCAATTATGATGAAAGAGGTCTGGGCTCAAATCTGCATTTCTTTAACCTAAAACCAATAGCATTATTCCTGTGCATTCTCTATTTGTACCATCTATTTTTGCTGTCTCATTATTTGATATTCATGCAAGTACAGATATGCTTCTGTTCAACTTTAATATATGTCTCATSTAATTTTCAATACTCTTTTTTTGTAACTTAGGATACAAAAATAGCTTCACTTGAGCGCAATATAAGAGATCTTGAAGATGAAATACAGATGTTAAAGACAAATGGAGTTCTGAATACAGAGGACCGAGAAGAAGAAATCAAACAAATAGAAGTTTACAAGAGTCACTCAAAGTTCATGAAAAATAAGGTAAGATCTATTTATAAAAGATATTAAATCTGTTTAAATAAAGGAAAGAAAAGTTTTAACTTGATTGTTTCYGATGCAAGCAGCTGCACATCCCCTTTTGGTAAATCTCTACTATATAATAACCAGTGGAGATGAAGGAGTGAAGCATTTTGGATAAATGGAAATGATTTTGATTTCAGCTTTTGATGTAGTTTTGCAGTAAGGAGTTTTGTTTCATTGATGCTACCAAAATGGACTCTCTCATATTTTCGAGACTGGCAATTTAATTTSATAACCAGTTAAAAACCAGACCTTAACCAACATAACCTGCAGAATCTACTTAGAGACTAGTAGGGTGTACCATCATTTACATTGTTACTCTTTGTCCTTTGCTTAAATCCTTCTTTTCAAAAAGCATTTGTCATTAGTTGCATAAGAACAAATCCTATCATGTGTAAATCAGCATAGTTTCATTTAACTGAATTATTGACTTAAAGATTTAGCCCATTAATTTAAGTGTGCAATATTCAGGGGAAAAGCTCTGATTTTTTTCCCCTCCCYTTGTTTTCTGGCTACTTTGTATAATGTCACGTATGAATTTGGTATGTAAAAATGACAACAGAAGAACACTGGTAATGGTTTTCTGGAAATGCAAARTTAATGGTATCTAAGGAGCTGAAATTATGGGAGGTAACAATTGTAAATTGATAGGGAGCAAAATGGATTTCAGGAAACGAGGTGAAAAGATTATTTTGGGCAATGCTGCAAAAGCAGTGATAGACAAATTGCACCTATGAAATATGTGAGATGAGGAAGATCGGGGTCAGAGGACAAAATTGGGTTTTTTTGATGCTACAGCAATTATACCCAGACTTGTAGCTTATCTTCATTATAGTCTTCACAAAGTATGAAAATGTTTTCATTGTATTATRTGAGATCATGAGATTTCATTGAATCATGACAGTTGGTCTTCCACATCTCTTTAGATACAGCAAAGCAAAATGTTTTCATATCTGCCAGAGACAACAATCTATTCATGTCCTGTTTAATTTTCTTTACCCMCTGAGATACTGCAGAACTTTACAAAAGTGTATATACCCATGTCTAAAACTTCTTAATATAAGTATTATAGTTTCTTCTTACACCTTTTTCTTTTTGTGGTGATTTTTTTTAAAATTGAACTTCTAGTACTTTTTTACCATAAAGCTTTATTTTAAAAAGACATCATCATATTTATTCAACAGGTTTTTTTGTGTTGTATGTGTTTGGTTTGTGTTTTAACTCTTATTTTTTTTTATTTGAGAGCTCTAACACATTTTTCAACTCCTGACAATTTGTAGGTCTTGTAGCCAGAACTTTACACTAAACAGATTCWGTCTCTAAAACACAAAGAACACACCTGCAATGAAAGCAAAACCTTTTAAATTTTTTTTTATTTCTCAGGGTGTGGGTTGTGTCATGGAGAGAAGGGGGAAGAGTTTCTAGAAGAGATTAAGCATCTGTGATGTTCACATGCRTCTCATATAAAGCCTGTGATGTAATTCAGATTGGCTGCAGATCTACATTTTGTCCTTGGATCTTGTAGACAGATTTTCCCATTGTTCATTTTCTGTCCATTTTCTCTTGGTTGCCATACTTGCTTACATGTTCTGGCAAGGGATGGAGGAAGGTGGTTTGCTTTCCAGAGAAAGCTTTCTCTAGCAGCTTTTAATTGCATTCTTTCCTCATGTCTGGTTTTTGTATGCTTTCTTTCTTTTTTTGATATTTTCAGACTTTAGAGGTRATTTCTTCTTAGTGCCAGGGTAGGTTCTTGATTTTATCTAGTGACTGTGGGTGACTATCTAAGCACCAAAACTATAGCTAGACAAACATATTGGAATTTATACAGAGAAATAAGGAATAAATATATTAGGACATGCTTAGAGACTGTAGTTGAGAAATATTGTTTTCAAATWTAATTTTTCAATATGCACTTGCAGAGTTAAACAAAATAAAAGCACTTTGATTAGCAATCAAAATTASCAGTACCATACAATACCGGGTTTGTAAAAGGTTTTAGTATGTGGATCTTTTCAGYGTGGTTGAGTAGGATCAACCTGTGGATATTCTTCTTTTTTTTTCCTGGGGATTTTGGAATCATTTTCCATCTACCACTTCTAGATTTCTTGCATCCCAAATGTCAGTTGGGACATGGAAAAGAGCCCTTCATATAAAGGAAGTGATTTCTCTGAGTTAAGCTAATGCAGTGAGGCATTTTGTTTCCAATAATCCTCATGAGGTGATCTATCTGGGTTCATCTGGTGACCAGGATTCTATCACGAGAATTTAAGAGTAGTTATATGCCACCTAATTTACTATCCTTGCACCTATGCGCATCATTCTGTGTATAGTCCAGTGCTTTGCTCTRATTCACATATTTTAAACCCACCATAATTTTGTCTTCTGTGGGTATTCCCATTTATCATTGTAGAARGAGAAGAATAATCAGAATTCCATGACATAAACTGATGAACTTTAAATTCACTTAAATTCAGAAGCTCTTAGTATTGTGTTTCTGGTGTTTCCCCTGGGATAAGCTTTTATAATCTCTCAGCCCTTTCATTGTGTGGAATTTTTTTRTAATCGCTTCCCCAGACTTCTCTTAAGTTAGTCTTCTTGGCTTGGCTTTTCTAGTACCTGAGAATTCCATGTCAACTGCCAGGGAGAAAAATAAGAGGTGGGGATGGTGGGCAGCAACACATTTGCAAGAAGAATAAAGTTAAAATTCTACTTTTCTGTTTTCTTTTCTGAGACGTCTGTCTTTTCTTTATCAGACTCCTGAAAAAATTCCTGATTCTCTGATAAGTCATGGGAATCATGCTGTTGGAAGGATTGAATTTATACTTTTATGAACACTTTTTTCCTATGTGTTTTTGCTGTCCTGCCAGACTTGCCTCACATGGGATACATGTCTTTGAACTTAAGTGAGGTCCATGGTGAATTTATAGGCCAAATCATCACGAATAATCTTTAAGAGTTTCCTTTTAACTTCTGCAGCAACAGGGCAGTCTTTCTTGAGATGGGGTACATTAAATTGCAAGAAACACAGTTGAAGATGTGAGTGTAAAAGTCTGAAACTTGATTCTCTTCCAGAATTCACAGGTGTCTGATTTTTCATATCATGGTCATTYACACCTTTCAGATTTCAACTGGAACTATGAACAGGAGACAAAATTAATGACCTAACATTTTTTTCCCCCCACTGCAGATTGATCAGCTGAAACAAGAACTCTCAAAGAAAGAATCAGAACTTCTTGCCTTACAAACTAAGCTTGAAACCCTTAGCAATCAGAATTCAGATTGCAAGCAACACATTGAAGTGCTTAAAGAGTCCCTTACTGCCAAAGAACAGAGAGCTGCCATACTTCAGACAGAGGTATTGTATTGTATCCCCTAATCATGAAACACAATAGAAACGTTGAGTTCATTGCCAGTATCAAGGTGGTGATGTGTTTGTTTCAAGTCTGTATAAAAGGAAAGTTGTCAAAGAATAATGAATAATGTAAAACACTTTAAATGCCAATATGTTGGGTGTATATATAAATTTTGGTAGGCACCAGCTCTTATTCCAGTATTTTTTAGAAGCACTTACAATTGCATGTAAAGAAAATGTTCGTGTCTAATTCTCATTGGCTTCAATGGGGGGAGGTGGACCTTAATGACTTGCGTGTTGTGATATAACCTGTTGTTRGACTGAGATTTACTTTTAGTTGCTCTGGTTGATGCTTCTTTTCTTCTATGTATTTCTGTTCTGAAAGGTGAAGTTACTGATGTATTTTTAAGGGATCTGTTGAAAGGTGCATGTTATTAGTCTCTGGTTGTTTTTTCAAGTGCAATCAACATTTATTTTAAAAGATGAATAATTTTATTCTTTAAAACAGATCAGTGTCTTGATTGGGTATCTACAAAATTAGATCATAAAAATATGTGTAATGGAATCCATGGTTGAGATGGTTGTCACATTTAAGGGAATGGGTAAATCCAGTGTTTTAAATGTTGTCCATTAACTATTTTCCTGATATTTAAAAAAATTATATAGGCTTGGAACACAGAATACTGATTAGATTGATTACTATTAGAACTTCTTGATTTTATTTTTCATGTGTGTGCCCCTTTCAGGAAACAAATATCTATGGAATTTAGTCATRCAGTGCAAATAGTTTCTATTCAGACAAGTATATTATTTAAGTGCACAGGAATCTTATAGAATGTTTCAAGTGTCTGGCTAGGAAAGCTCTAGGAAAGAAATGGCTTAAACTCATCATTCTTATGGAAGCAGGAAATAAATATTTCTAAGATTCTGTTTATCCCTTTTTGTGTATGTCTTGTGCTCTGCATGTTAAGAAGACACAGATGAAATTTGGCATTTCCAGCATGTGTTTAATGGGCCAACCAGCATATGCGTATAATACAAAATAATCATAACAGAAAAAGGATAAAAACTCCCGCAATTCTGGTGATCTCAATGCAGCATTTGAGTAGGAAAGATTGCATATTTTAAATCCTGGGCTGTGCAAATCTGTTTTGTAAGGCCTCTATGACCTGTTGTGCTGCTGAGGATGGTGATGGATTTCACTGGCTCCACTGATTTCAATTCCGAATTCCTTATCAGAGTGGTTTGTATTCAGTGCAGTACTCTCTTATGGCTGGCAGATGGGCAGTGGTACAGAGAACTGAACTGCAGTACTCTTGATGAAGGGCTGCAGGGATTCTGCACTCCTGCTGGAGAACCAGGGCTTCTGACAGGTATTTAGTTCCTCTTCTTCCCAGTTTCTGCACAGGACTGTTGAGCTTGAACCTTTTACATGATTAGTGGTAGCAATCCAACAGTGCTTCTAGACACAGCAGATCTAGTTCTCTGGGAATTGGGATAAGATTTTGTTTGCTTAGAGCAACAGAATCGTCTTATTTCCAGGCCTCAGGTCTTATCTGAAGGGAGGGCAGTGGTTTCCAGCAGCAGATGGGAGAGCAGCTGCMGGGAGATGCAGCACAAATGGCAGCTCTCCAGCAGGTGGGAGTCATTATGGAAGGAGTTTTGTACTGCACAAGCTATTGTTGGTCATTCCCAGATGAGGAAAGCTAATAACATTTTGGCCTGCATTAAGCTACGCTCCTTTCTTCCTGCATGTCCACAATGTCTGTTTGTAGAATAGTTTTGTTGAATTTTGTACTGTCSTAAAAGATGTTCCTAACTTGCCTTGAAGTGCTGCTTTCTGGAGGTGAATGTAACCATTAAAGTTCTAATCCTGTGCTGAGTAAGGCATTCATAGCTGCAGTGTCAACTTCCTGCCTAAATAGGATTACTTTGTAGTCACCTTGTTGTAATTAAATTAGCATAGTAAATCCTGTAATAAAAGAAACCCTTCACAGGCTCTCAGTTATTTTGTAAGAAGCCTTTTATTATTATTTAGCTTAATGGTACTCTGCAGGTAATTTTCAGGTTTTGCTGGAGCAGCTGCATGTGATGCAATGGGATGTGATTCAGAGAATCCCATAATATTTGAGGTTGGAGGGGAGCTCTGGAGCTCATCTGGTCCATCCCCCCTGCTCAAGCAAGGCCACCTAGAGCCATCTGTCCAGGACCAGATCCAGATGTCTTTTGAATACCTCAAGGCATGAGACTCTCCAACCTTTGAACCACATGGGTCAGTGTGAGTGTTTCCTATGCTCAGAGGAAACCTCCTGTGTTTTTGTTTGTGCCCACTGCATCCTGTCCCATCACTGGGCACTGCTGAAGAGTCTGGCTCTGTCTTTACAGCCTTCCTTCAGATATTCATACACAGTGATGAGATGCCCCATTCCCTTTTCTAGACTAAGCACTCCAGCTCTCTCAGGCTTTTGTCGTATGGGAGGTGCTCCAATCCTTTAATAAAGCCCTTAAGTAATCCCTCAGTTTCTCTCGGGCCTGTTGCTGGACTGTGTCCAGCATGCCCAGAACTGGACATGAGAGTCTCATGATATTCCAGGAGTGGCCTGACAGTGATGGACAGAGGGGTCACCTCCTGAAGCTCCTGGCTGCACCCCTCTAGGGAACCCAGGATGCTGTCAGTGTCCTGCTGCAGGGGAGCATTGCTGGTGTTCACCATTGTGACCACAGCACCACGAGGTCCTTTCTGCCAAGCTGCTTTCCAGCTGGGTGAACTCCAGCACATGCAGGTGCCTGGCATYGTTCCTCTCCTGGTTCAGGACTTTATATTTCCTTCCCTGATCTCCAAGAGCTTCCTGTCAGCACATTTTTTTTCTGCTTGTCAGAATCCCTCTGAACGTGACGCTCTGATGGGTCAGCTGCTCTTTGCATTTTTTTTTTCCACCCACACACTTGCTAAGGCTGCACACTACCCCATCATCCAGGTCATTAATGATGATGTGGAACAGGACTGGATGCAGTATTGACCACTGGGGTGCAATACTGGTTTTACTGCAGTGTCCTGATTCCTCTTGATAGTTCTCCACTTACCTACGTGGTTCTCACAAGCCAAGTCTGATAAGGCATGAGGCTTGGAAATATTTTGTTGGTATTAATGACAGGTTTTTTTGTAGATCATGTACCCCTGTAAGTTCATTGGTTTCACTATTCCTTGGTAAATTGTACCAGTGTTTGTTATTTGATAGACTGGATTTTTTTGGGGTATAATTTCAAGCTTGGAATTTTCATTATGTCTTACTAAAATTAGCTCAGAAAATGYTACYGCTTTAAWAGTAGAGTTTAAGTTTGAGCTCTTACACAGTTGGTTTYAACAGTAAGAAATGAAGTGTAAGCAGAGTTACAATAATCTTTATCCTGAATAATACTGACTACTGTTGAGGCAAGACTTAACAGGTAGTTTTGTTGGTTTTATATGTTTTATAGCAGATAATCAGAAATAAGAGGGCAGCTGAATTTTCTGGATGAKCATTGGATCAGGTTTCAGGTGCAGTGGCACTTTGTGACATAATGTGAGAAAAGTTAAAACCATTGGTAAACAAGCCTAGAATCTAAACACAGTSTTCTTTTTGCATGGTGTTTCTGTTGTCCCAGTGATGTCAGTGTTTTGTTTTGGTTTAAATATGTTTATTTGACTTGAAAAGCTATCACTTGAAGCTTTTATTGACAGCTGAAACAAAAAGAAATAAATCCTGTACAGCAGTAACTATCACGGTGGCCAGAGTTGGGAGGTCTGAAAATGGTTTACTGCCAGTAGGAAAAATGTTTGGAAGCAGTCCTTAGAAGGTTCACCACCTCTGCTATGTGCATTTCATTTCGTTCCATTTTTAAGGTTATATATGATAATAGTGCCAAACTATGCAAACTTTTCCTACCCTAATGTATATACCCTTTGTTTTGATTATCTCTTTATTAATGATGTGAAAACCCTGAGGTCAGATGAAAATGAGCYAATGTAAGGTTAGTCCAGCCACAGAAACCTAAAAATGTCACTGTGCTCTATAGGAAATTTTTAAAAAGAAGGATATGMCACTTGATGCTTTCTTTGCTGTTTGAAAAAGCTGTTAAATGATGTTAATTTCTAAATGAAAGAGGAGGTTACACATAGAGAATGATCCTTTTCAATGATGTAAAAAAGATTAACACTACCATTTGTATACTTTAAAACATGGTAGTCAGTACAGTTTGATACTTASTTGTGCATATTTGCAGTGACTGGCGCTTAACTACTGCACTTACCATCAGGAAAAAAACTTACTGAAATTGATGCAAATAAATTCAATTCAGCTGGGTAGCTCAGTGGAGAAAAAACATTGGTTTCATAAGCATTTCTGACACAAACATACTTTAGCACTTTATTAGTCAGTGTATCATTGCTTTAGATAACACACCTGCAAACTGGCAGGTGTGCTGTTTGAACGTTAATGAACTGTGAAATAAGTAAATGTCTACAAAGAAGTTTTGTAAATTGTGAGCACAGTCCTGTCAATGGAGAAAATGGATTAGAAAAATAGGTGAAGTCTGTACTGTAACTGAATACTGATGTGTTCAGCATACACATACTAGTATAGAAAACCTAATAAAAGTGAAGAGGAAGGGTGATTATAGTAGTTATTTATTGCAATCTGCTTTTTTGTTTAAACAAATCTGTTTATAGAGAAGAGTTGTGAAATGATTGACTTCTTGGCAGTTCTTAGTTTGCATAAAGAGTGAATAAAAGGAGACAGCACAAAATACTTGGAACAAGACTAAAAAAAGCTTTATTTTTCTTTCTGTTACAATGTTGATATTTGATATTTCTTGAAATGCAAGTCTGCTTTTAATTTTACAACAATAATGGTATAACTACGGTTATTTCACTCGCACATTTTTATTTTTCAAAGTTCGAGTTTTACTTTGAAAATGTGTTTTTCTATTGTTTTGTGATTTTTCTGGTTTYGAATCAGGCTGGG